TGATCTTTTGTTTAGTTAGACTTTGGTTGAAGTCCTACGCGTATTGTTACGCATCTTATCAGCTCATATAATCTTTTGTTCAGTTAGACTTTGGTTTAAGTCTTACATGTATTGTTACACATCTCATCACGTACCTCATCAAGTTGCAAGAGAAACAATTTTTTTGATTTTTTGTGAAAGTTTTATTTTTTCAATGAAGGATCAAGCCAAGATTTGATTGAATCTCTGGACAATCAAAGTGGTTTTAATGAAAGGAACAAATTGATGGCTCTGAAACTAGAAATGAACTGAAGAAAAGTCAAACTAGCTTTTGTAAGGGCTACCAAACGTAACTCAAGAGGTATGAAATGTTGGTAAACATCATCTTGGGGAGTGAATGTTTTGTTCAGAGAATTGGAGTATTGTTGGATTTGGGTGAAAGCATCTCCGGGCAATAATGACCTAAACGCCACCGTATATCACACCAACCTGTACCTCGGTAGACTTCTGGTGGCTTCCTTGTGTATAACTTGTACATGTGGAGTCCACTCTTCTTGTTTATGTAGAACAGTTGGAACACACAAAAAGCTCTCAGAATTAAAGTGAGAATGCAAAGACTCAACCAGGGAAAGGCCTATAGCTTTTACTCATAGATTTTTAAACACAAGGGAATGGTAAATGTGAAAATGATGCATAAACTGTGAGTTAACCATTCTCACCTTCTGAATCCATGGAACATAACATCATCAGGTCTCATCAGGATCTTTACGCATTGATCTTCAATGGTTGATATCACATTTTCATGACAGCTCGCTTTCCAGCCTACAGATACGCTAACCATACCTGAACAGACCTTAACAAGGTTTTCTGGGAAGTCTTAGTCTGATTTTGAGTAAAAGAAATAGTCATGTATTGTTATTGTTTAGTTTGAACGTGGTTGAAACTGATCTCAATGTAGCTCGACATGACTCAAAATCAATGGTACTATATATGATAAAAGACCCAATAGACATTGTAAAAGAAAAACAAACAATTGCAAAAGTTAATTTTTTTAGATAGAATGCACACGTCCCAACGAGTGATTTTGGAGAAGTCAAAAAAGGGCTTGTAATATAAAAAGACCTCTACATAGATCAGAGTTGTTGTGAATCCTCCTCATCTCACACTTTTTTTTTGTGCACCACTGGTTTTTCAAGCTTATCCTAGTCAAGTGAATGAGAGAAGCTGGGACATGAGCCTCGTGACTTGGTATAGGTGGCAATGGACTTCACATAGCTCCACTCCAGTACAGGTTTTGGTACAGGCTATCTATATTTTAGCCCGGAGGCCTTTTCGCCCATTTCCAAAAATCCTCGAATGCTCCTGTTGTGTTAAGTAAAGTTGATTCAATCTCATAGGTGGTTTCGCCTTTCATTTGTACAAGAACCGTGCTTGTCGTAAAAGAATTGTATCTTCCAGGGTGCCTTTTCAAATCAGGAAGCTCAAACAGAGACCCTGATTCAACCAGAATACGTTTCAAGACAACAGACAAGTTTTTGTGGTGTAATATTACACAAACAAGTGTGTCTTGGAAGATAAACCCCTTAATTTCCAGATCTTAAGTCCAAAGCACATATGATCATCCGCTTAAACCACAAGACAAAGGGAGTTGTTCATCAGTCCCTACTCACATCTCTCATAATCCGGATCAGTAGACAACAGGTTTTTGAAGCCCAGTGTCTCCATCTCACATCTAACAATCATAGCATTGACCTCACCACGAATGTCCTCAAGAAACGTCTCATACGAATGTCCTCACCAAGCTTCGTGTCTCAGGGAGGGCAGGAAGAAGCTGTGCAAAGACTGCGGTGGATTAAACCGTTCTGGGGTGATCAAGCATACCATCAATAGTTCACTACATTCGAATTGTAATTCCAGCTGCCCCGTATATGGATGTAAGCCATGATTTTGTTATCCTTGTCTCGATCACCAATTCTGATTCCTACTTGACGTGCTCTACAGTGACCAATTTGGATTCATACCCCTTTTCTTTGAAGAGCTCTGCTGAGACCAATGGACCTTCTAAAAGTACGGAATTACACATCACCAATTAAAATTACAAACAGAGCTTTGACCACTTCCGCCTTTAATAGGTGGGGCTTCTAATCACCATCCCAATTTCTTGTTGAAGAAACGAGATGATGTTCATAATGCCAGTAAAAAAGCTACAAATCATGTATCTTTTGAAGATGATAGTCCAGGTGTGTACATAACAGCTTCAGGTATAATCCAACATACTAATTCTCTTGAATACCCTGCAGAGACAAACAGCGATACTGAAAGCAAAATCATTAATCAACTTGCACCCAAAGCTAAGATTGTTTTGGGCCAGCACCGCCCCACTATCAATCATGCAATACTACCATCCAAGAGTTCATTGATGCAAAGAAGGAAATCACTAGATCCCGAAATTACGTGCGTCACAAATACCTCCAGCGTCCATAATGGTAGGCCCTTGGCCCAATGCCAGGGTTCTACATTCACCAATAACGGGAAAATTACAACAGGTTCAGAATCTGTCTTCTCTGGGCCGTCCTACTATTGCGGCCCATTGACTATGACACTTGATTCAAATTCCAGGGAGCGGGACCGTCTTGGATGACCAAGAACCTGTGAATCATAAATCAAAATCTAAGGTTCCACCTGGTGTTGCTCTGGAAGACCCAAAGCCCAACCACCCCCAAATTACCATCATTGAATTGACTTTAGTCATGGCCTTCCTCTATCTGTTTGGAAAGTTTGTCTCTGGAGTGTGGGCTGTTTTTTTTCTCGTGGTGTTTCTTACTTCATTGTTTTGATCTGCAAATGAACTTTGTAGGTGTTCTATACTGGCCTCTTCCGCTTTCATTCATTATGTTTGCTTCCATTGTTTATATATTGTAATTCTTCCAGCCAGTTTTTCAAACAATAAAGTTCAGGAATTGGACGGTTGGGAAACAGCACTTTTCCTAGGACAAAGTGTGGTTTTGCCTGTCATGAGTTGTTGACCGCAGGGGTATTTTGATCAAAGTTTGCCTCATCTTACTGAAACCATGCCATGAATTCATGAACCACATGAAACCCTTAGGATACCGGGTAGGAGAATTTTACCCAGCCCACTTTAAACACTGCGTCCACCACCTCCCTTCTCGACGTCGAGAAGGGTAGAATGTCTTCATTTGATTCGACTTTGTTTCAACCTTGTTTCGAGTCAGTTCCACTACTGAGTATTCCACTCAGCATAGACTGAGAGATGTATGAGTGATTGATCAGAAGCCATTGAGCCTCAGGATATTCCTCAGATCTTAGATTCTCTACCTCAGGGTATTCCTCAGAACTTCAGGAATCTGAGTCACTTTGTTTTACATCTATATGTTCCCTTGATTCCATTCTATAATGACCGAACCCTTTTGACCAACACACGAATTCAAGCTCAAGTTCATCAACTCGATTCGTCACCGTCACCTAAAAAATCCTCCATCAAATCAAATCAATCAAAAAATATCTAAACCAAAACATTTAATTAATCAAAATATAACGTTCCTTCACAAATCTCAAAATACTTTGTCATTAAAACTTTTTCTTATAAATCACACTTTTTCTTGTAGTTGTACATCTTTATTCTAGCTCATTGGCTTTTTTCTTTATTTCTGTCTTTATCCATCTTTATCCGTTGTATTTCAAAGTTTTATTATCTCTTCATTGACTGTACTTGAACTGAAATGCAACTGCATAACCTGAAATCAGATGGTAATAAAAAATTTGAATCCATGAGTCTTGAGTAAGACAACAGAACCAAATATCAACAAAGACAAAGTCTGGTTTCTTTTGATCTTAATTTACTTATATCTCACATATTACTACCTAGCTTTATCTTCTTTTTATTTCAGTTTTCTCCTCATTCGGCCTCCGACGCACCTATTTTCCTTTCTTTCCCGTTTTGCTTGTCTCGTGACTCGTCCTCATACTCATCGTTCCAGTTATGGTAAGTGATCATTCTACTAACATAAAACAGGTCAATAATCAAATCTTTGTCTACAGTTGAATAAAATCTTCATCCATCATCAAAGATAAATCAACTAGAAGGTCTCTATCTGATTTAACAATTTCTTTATGCAGTAATCAATCTAGTCAGTTCAACTTCAATCTATCTTGAAATGGTCAATCCACTCGATTTAACGAAATATAGTATGCTGAAGACGATGGGGATGAGGATGAAGTTTTTATGGAATCTGAATTGAAGAAAAATAAAAAACGATCAGATTGGGCAAAGGGAAAATCTAGAGCTCATTGGTCATCTTTCTATCTATTCATACCTTATCCAATTCACCCTCAACTAACTCTTTCTTTCTACCGCGTAGAGGCCAGTGAAAACTGGGATAATGACTTCCTCTTCGTTTCGGTCTCAACCAAATCACTTCCTTTACCTTCAAAGACGGCTTCTCATCTAAATCCACCTACAAGGAATGGATCAGCTCATTGACAATCATCCTCTCTTCAGCATTCACTCAATCAACCACTTCCGCCACTTCCGATCGTTGACACCTACTGGAGTGGCAAGACCGCCTCGCCGAATATGAAATTTCCGTCTGCTTCCATAAATGTGTACTCAAATGATTTGTGTTGTTGGGGTACAGATTCGATGGGATTTTCGAGGCAACCAAGTTTGTCATTCTCATAGATTTCAGCTCAGCATCAAAGCATGTAGATCAAGCCTGAGTCTGACCACCCCATGGCGATGTCCATCGAACAGATATACGAAAGCACTCGATAATCTCAAGCTCATCAAAAAGGAAGCAACCGCGGACCTGAAAGTCGACGAGGAGAGATAATCCGCTCTCGCAACTGATAAGGCTCGTGCAGAGAAGGTTAGTCCCTTTTTTGATTCAATCTTAACCCAAGGAAATTAGTCAAATGAATGGCAATCGAGGAAGAATCTGACTGTCGAGCTAGCTTGCCTTCATTGCTTACTGTATCAGCTCCAAGCAAGTATAGACAAGATCATGGGAAATATTGAGAAGAAAGAGGCGCATTATGATGATTTGGATGCTAAGATTGCTAGTCTCGCCGAGGATAACAAGAAATTTTACGAGCAAGCTGTACACTACAAGGAAATCTTGAACGAGTATGAAACATTGTCACGACAGAAAGAGAATCGAGAAGAGATGGTGGATGACCTGTTGGAGGGTATGGAAGAGATGATCGTAGGCGGTTCGTTCTATGTCAAATTTGCCCTGTTACAAAAAATTAGTGTTAACTTTTGGGTCGACTCTTTGATTATTCAGTCACGGATGAAGACTCGAGGGAATATCGAGACAAATCTAGGGCTAAGTTGGACAAATGCGGAGCGGCCCCAAGGCACAAAAGAACATTTAGCCAATCTTGAATTAAAAATAGCCAAGCTGCGACAAAAGCATCAGAATAAGTTTACCGAGTTCGGTCAGTTGAAAGCGCAAACTCAGGTAAGTTTGTTTTTTATCCTCCTCAGTACCGCATATGATTAATGATGACTTCATGTCATGTATCCACAGCGACACGTGTCTGCATTAGAAGAAAGGCAGGATTTAGTCAGGCGTCTCAGCGGGCGTCATCAAATCCAAGGCTTTGAAGGTTTGATCGATGATAGGCAAGTGGAAGAGTTCTTGAATACACTCACCGAGTCCCAGAGCGAGTGAAAGTGAGGTTTTATACTTTGAGATCATGCTCATTTGTCAGAAGTTGATACCGAGCTTTTACTACTCAAATTAGCGAGATGGAAAAAAAGCCGAAGATGACAAGCAAAAAGAAATCTTTGAATATAGGACGGAAGAAGGCTCTAATCGTCAGAAGAAAAAAGCCTTGCAGGAACAAAATGTACGCTGGCACAACCTGAGATCTTTTCTTCCTCAAACCGACCGCTTGCGCCTTACTAATCTACTATCAATACACAGGAAACAATTTGAAAGCCTTTCAATTGGTAGTGATTGTGGGTTTCATTCTCTGAATTGTAAGACAATACAAACATTCATTGCACATCTCATTCACTGACGGCATTATCAATGATTATAGACGCACCACGAAGACTTTCTCAACCAATTAGGCCAATCTGACGTAATTGATAAGTATTGGTAAGCTGATTTTGACTTCCAAAACACCTGGAATCCAAGTCCAATACTTGGATCTAGAAAGGAACTTTTCAAATACTAATTTTGGACTAGGTGTGTCAGTCAAAACACTCAACAAAAGTCTATCATTGAACGTCAACGGCTGATGTGAATCAAAAGGAACGGATTCCAAAGAAGAATTGATGTACATATACAAGGATGACTTCAAATTGATGTTTTTGAAGTTTAGATAGTTGAGATACAAACTTAGTAAAAATCTTGACCATTTTATATTGGTTGTCCCTTCAGATGTGATATTCTTTTCGTAGAAACTTGTTACCAGAAAGTTTAGGAACTAAGTCTGGTATAAAAATATGCTTTTTCTAGTTTTTGATAGCTTTTTTGTACCTTTATGATCAGTATTTTGTGATGCATATTAAACTGATGATTACTTGATCAGATGAACTCAAAATTGAAAGATCTTGATGAAGGAACAATTAGTAATATGTTTAGAAAGATTATAAGACTTTTCAGACCCTTGATTCTGATGAAAAACTTTGATCAAACAGATGGGATTTTTTTGATAGTAATTAAAGAGTAAGCATGTATAGCATCATTAATAATTTCATAATCTCGCGATTGTGGCTAATGAGATTTTGATGATGAATGTACAAGGTTTCAGAGCAAAAACTCCCACTCAAGGATTTGATGCCTAAATTCGAAATCAAATAGTCTTTTTCTCACAAGTGTCTTTTGGATGGGCAGATTGGCTTTTTAGCACAGGAGATGTTTTGGTTCAATTTTTTTTGATCAATTTTCGACAAAATATTCATATGAATACATATTATGATTTCAAAATTCATTTGACTTTGTGGATATGATTAGATATATAAAATCAAAACATGTATATATGTTATAGACTAAAATGTTTGACATGATCATGGAAAAAATATGTACAGTTAAGAGTTCAGCAGTAAAAGGAAAGAAAAAGCAGAGAGAAAATAGGAGAAAATATAATGACAGGATTAGAACTGTTTGATCTGAAGCGATTCACATCCAAGACAAGATTTAGACAGTTAAGCTTAGTTGAAAAGGTTTGAGCAGCACAGTGAAAATATTTACATGCATTCAGATGGCTACAACAGTTTTGGAAATCAGATCACGGAATTTGGACAGTTGTGAACGTGTTCAACACAATCTTGCACCAATCTTACTTCATTAAACATTCTGAGAAAGATGTGCGCGGTTTCCTTATACATGTATCCATTGCACATGTTATTCTCCAGCAGATTTTCAAGGGGACCAAGTCCACTTGCCAAAATAGACCGCGTGGTTGACAATCTACAGTGGCAGCTCGAAGTGGTTGGTATGTCATTTTCTGTCATGGAGGTCAAAAAGTAAGACAAGAAGTGAAGTTGAACCGTACAAATCATTAAAATGTTAACATCCGTTATATAACACATTGATACTCAAGAGTTGGGATCAGAAACTAACCTTTTTTCCCTCCAGCACTGGATCTTTTAGTTTGTGCCGCTGAAGATACATTACCCTCAAACGTGAGATCTACTCGAGGAATTGGCATTTTTTGGGTAGATCTTTGTATAAACTCGGGTACTACAGTCTCAGAAGTGGAGCTTATTGAATCATGTATTGGTGATAGAGGTTTTGATATAGCAATTGTGTGATCTGATCCACTTTTGAAGCCATGAGTCAGTGATGACGATTGAAGTCGACGAATTCCGGTCTCCGCTTCAGAGGAAGAATCTTTTAAGGCAGAGGCTAGTAGTGGTGGTTGAGATCGAAGTATCCTTGGGGCGGCTGAAGGAGAGGATGAGAGAGCCTCTCGAGTGCTACGAGGTGGATACGGAGCAAAGTGATACCTTTTCTTGCCAGCTTTAAAAGGAGAGCGTGGTTCCGGTGGATTAGCAGTACCAGAAGCAGGATCCAGAAAGGTTTGATTGGCAGATGCCAATCGGCTTTGATGGTGTTTCTTGCGAGCCCCAAGAGCAGAGTACTCTGAGCTGTGTCTTGGCTGTAGTGATTGAAGTTGATTGACAGCTGGAGAAACAGGATCTCGATCTCGAAAACGTTGGCTTGATGTCAGTCGACTTTGACGCCTGGGCGGTAGTGATTGAAGTTCATTGGCAGCTTCAGGAACAAGATTTTGTAAGCTAGGATTTGGTGACCGTGATCGAAATTTGTAAATTTCTTTGCTGGCTTCGGCGGCACATCTGGCTAAGCGGTCGGATCGAAACCCATCAGCAACTTCAGAAGAAGAGTAATGACTCTGGAATGCTGTCAAGAAACAAGAGATTTCAGTCCGAGGCTATCATAGGAACAATACAACCACATCTGTTGCAACTTGAAAACGACTCTACCTGATGCAAAGGGCTCATTTTCAATCTTGATCAAATTATTGGCGACCATTTTATCAGCAAAATCCGTGAAATTCGCAGCCAAGTCAACTGGATTTGGTCGATCGGGATGGCCCAACCCACAGCGGCTCCTTATTTTGTAGTTCATAATTTCGACTAAATCTGTAAGAAGGACAATCGTTGAAAGCATCAGAGAACCTGCGATCAACTTAAATGTATAAGATGAATAAGAAAGAAGACGAAATCAGCTTACCCTCATCTGTACTTGAATTGTCACCTTGATGAGCATCTGCAGGTCCTGCAGGGCAACACTTGTTAGCGGCTTTTTGAATCGTAATAATTGGATGACAATAATATTGAGGTGGACTGGTAAATTGCATCTCGAAGATTAGACTTACTTTTTGTTTTGTGGTTCAACTCTGAGGGCGGTTGAACAGTCTCTTGAAGGAAAACGTCTGACCGAACAAGGTTGCTCTTGTGCATGTTGTCTTAGAGGAGACAAAATATTAATCAGAAAAGGGATAGGAAATGAAGTGAAGTGAATGGATCACTGACCGTGTTCAACTAAGATCTTGTCATCTCTGCCATCAACAAAAGTAGATGCTTCAAATTTTGAATTGCCGAGGTGTGAAATGTTATCATCATAAAAGTGTCCTGAAGATGAGTAGCGAACTGCATCAGAACACACATGATTGTTGAGCTTATGGTTAATTCTTTACCTGTGGCTTCCTGGTAGTCAGAGCTTGATTCGCTGGAAAAATGAGAGTTTAGTTAAGTGACCGTGATGTGAGTTGACCAATAGTATGAGTTGACCAAAAGTTGAGGAAGTAGCCAAACGCTAATGAAAGTTGTGGTACATACATCCAAGTTGAAAAAAAGGGGGGCTTTGTTAAGTTTGGGGACAATCCAACAGGATCCAACCCAAGCTATGAGTCGACAAAAGCCCGAGCGGCCCGTAATTTCGAGGCCGGCTGTACAGCCCTGAGTGGCACTTTTGGAACGGATCCGGCTCTCGGGCCGGGCCGTGAGGTGCATTTCTCACCTTATGCATCGCATATGACCCCGGGCTACCTGGTTAGCACGGCCCGAAAGCGAAGCAGTCTCAGCTTAAAAGGCCATTGATTATACTTTAGAGATACGAGACAAAATATACAAAAGATCAGAAGAAAGATACCTAAAAGAAAAACCTGCCCCACTAAGAAATGTGGGACTCCGGTTGATGTACTTTACATATGATACATTCTAATCTTTTTGCTTCCAAGACCCAGACTTAATTACTCTTTTAGCAAAACGTACATCATATCTGAGTACAGCTTCAGTAAGATCAAATTAATGTTGAATTGAGGTTTTATGTTGTTTTAGATGAAGATTTAATGATCATTCTTGTTTCAGTCATCTGATGTAGAAATATTTATTGAGAAAAAGCTTGAAATATAATATGTGTATAGCTTTAGCATCTAATTCCAATCACAAGATAACCAATTTCATAAGATGAAAAAAACATTCAAATTCACAAAAAGAAAAGAGTCTAATAAACCTTTAGAAGGAAAACAACAAAAAAACATCTTCATTTTAATTTCTCCATAAGATTAATTGCAATTCTACCGGCTAGATTTCCCATAGGTCCATTCGAATTCAATTGTGAATTAAAACTACCTAAAAATGCTGATTTCAATCAAGATAAATAAAATGACGTTGAAGAGGCCATAGAGATAGGATCCTGGTCACTGTTGAAGTTTGCATGAAGCGAGCGTGATTGGTACACATATTGGCTTGATACAGAAGGAGACGAATTGAAGAAAGAAGATGAGATTGAAGATGGTGTTGAACCCTCTTCACTGGAAATATCCTGATAGACTGAGTCTGATTCGTATTTTGAAGACACTGAGGGGCCAGAGTCATGTTCACTGGTGGTGCCTTGATCTACCGATCCCGATTTATATACCGATCGATTTGATGAAGAAGGATAGGAGTCAGAAGACCCCAAGGCAAAAGATTCATGTTCACTCGAATTTGCAGTATCTTCATCTACCATCGAGTACGATTCATAGCGTAAATTGGGTTTGATAGATGCAGCGCTAGAAGAAGTTAAAAGATAATGATATATCAGAACCGTCTCCACTTTTACTTGTAGTATCTTCATCTACCAAGTCAGATTCATATACAGATTGATTGGGAGAGGAGCTCAAAGATGAGGATATATAAGGGTCGTGTTCACTTTGACTTGTGGTATCTTCCTCGACCGAGTCTGATTTGTATACAGAGTAATTGGGAGAGAAGCTCGAAGACAATGAAATATAAGGGTCGTGTTCACTCTGACTTGTAGTATCTTCCTCGACCGAGTCTGATTTGTATACAGATTGCTTGGGAGAGAAGCTCGACGATAGTGAAACATAAGGGTCGTGTTTGATATTTTCTTCTACCACGTCCTTTTTTTGTGCAGAGTGAATCGATGAAGCAGGAGAGTGGTTCAAAGACAACACAGAGTTTTCCTTGCTTGTAACTTCATGTACCGAGCCTGATTTGTGAGAGATAGATTTTCCAAGGAAGAGAGTGAAGTTAGTATGTATTTGGCCTTGGCAATTAAAAAAATCCTGCATACCTATACTTGCATAATTGGAAAATCGCCTCTTCTTTGAGCTTGAAGAAGTGATTTGAGTGTCAACTGGGTCTGCTGATGTTTGAGTGTGCGGAAAAGCTGTATCTTGATCTGGATTAAAGCTGTCCAGAACCGCGCGTAGTTTTAGGTCCACGAAGTTCAAACATCTATGATGCAGGTCCACGATACAGGAATCCAGTTTCTGTGATATTATTGGTGCTTCAGCCAAGGAGTCGATACGGGGCTCGACATGGGCAAAGGCCACCAGGAGGGAGTCACGATTGAGGGTGTTGATCAAAGACTCATTCAAGGCATCAATCACAATTAAATGTAATCCATCCACGTAGGGCTTTGGAAGTAACATGTCAGATTGAGATAGTTGATTGATAGCAACCAAGAAGGATGAAAAAGTTTTGTGAGCTTTCAAGTGTGATCTGATAAAAGAGGGGAAGAAAATGATCTTGACACCCTGCCTGATCTTACTATCTTGACCAAAAACTGTCTTGGTGTCAAAATCCTACTATCTTTACCAAAAACTACCTCGGTATCAAGAAGGTAATGGCAGTCTTTGTTCCAGCTGTTTGATAAAGGCAACTTCCTTTTGCCTCGGGAGCCGGTGGCATTCCAATCTCAATACTGTGCCTACTCTTACTATCTTTACCAAAAACCCTCTCGGTCTTAAGTAAAAGCAGTCTTTCAGTGGTTCAACAAAGGTAACTCCCTTCTCACTGTTGAAAGTTTACTCGACTTTGACTAAATTCCAACACCGCGCTGGCTGTTACTATCTTTACAAAAAGTTACCTCGGTATCAAGAGGGTAAAAGAAGTCTTTGTTCCAATTGTTCAACAAAGGCAACTTGTGACCTTGACTCGCCGTGGGGACCTGTGGTGGTGGAACTTTTCCACGAATTCACCATGACCCAAAAAGCACACCACAATGATTGGAAGAATCGATTCTTCCAACCGATCGGAATACTAATCGATTGGAAGAATTGACTGATCGATTGGAAGAATCGAAATCAATTAGTAAGATATACTACCGACTAGAATCGAATCGAGTATATCATCACGTTCCTAATGAACTGAATCTCATTATGATTTGGAATAGCCTGATCAATTTTGATCGATATAGATTTTTAATCCTTTCACTGACAACAATTTCAAATGAGATCGACAAGCTTAATAGGATGAAGTCTGATTTGATGATACAAAAAAAGGTTAAAATAGACTGTTGGATCTTGAACAAGATCGATATCTGTCTGAATTGATTCTGACCAAAAAATTGGAGCTTGAACAAGATCGATAGTTGATATTCTATCTGAGAGCCTCTCAGATCGAGAGTTGGAAAGTAAGAGGGGTCAAGATTGGCGGTGGTATTTCGTATGGGGCGTTGGTGGAGTACTTGAAGGGGGAATCTCGTCGGTCATTGTGTGATGGGGGATGTGGGGATTTGATCAAAGTCCAGCGTATTCTGCCTTTCTGGCACAAAGGTTCCAGAAGCACTTGGTGTAGTATAAATAAAACAAGCTAAATACGAATCGGAGGAATAGTGATTGAATGGGATCGAAGGGGGGGATCGTTCAGTTGAATAAAATCATGCGGCACGTTGATGCGCAGGTCTGAACTGTCCGGGTTTTCAAATAGCTTAGGCTGCTGAGGGCTGCTGAGGTTTTGAATGAGTGGAAGAAACGATTTTTTTGAAAAGACGTTTCTCACACCAAACTCTGACCATTCTACCCTTCTCGACGTCGAGAAGGGAGGTGGTGGATGCAGTGAAACCTACCATCTCGGTGTAAAATAGACCCAGTGTGAAATTTGAAAAAGGGCTTGATTTTAGAATTTTGCACCATCTTTATTTCTTTTTGGTTGTTGTAAAATAACTCTGTGTGAACATGGTGGTGTAAAAACGCAGCACCTCAGAGTGTCATGTCATTTTACACCAAGATTTTTACACAGAGAGGTAAAAAAAGTCAACTTGAAACCCCTAAAGAGCGGAACAATTGATTTTGTACCGGGTTAGGATACACAGGGGCTGGCATTTCGTGGTAAGTTCACGATGAGATGTGAACTTCATCTGGACCTCACAATCAAATGTAAACTTTGTGAAAAGTTCACCATAAATATGAGACAAAAGAAACACTTTTTTGATTTGTTGTTGTTGTTGTGGTGTTTATATAAAACGTATTCATTTTTGATGAGCATCATGATAACAAAGTGTTTGTTGAGTCATTCTGTTACCTTTTTGTTATATCATCATATGAT